TGACTTGTGTGAGTGTGTGGTGTATGTACACACGTGAGTGTGTGTGTGTGTGTGTGTGTGTGTGTGTGTGTGTGTGTGTTTGTGTGGTGTATACACATGTGAGTATGTATATCCTCCAGGGAGGGTGGGGGTAGTGTATACACATGGATGTGTATATGTGGTTATGGGTTGCAGAGGTACATACCCAGGTGTGTATGTATGTGTGGTATATGTACACAGGTGAGTTTGTATATGTGGATATGTGTGGATGTGGTATATATACATGTGAGTGTGTGTGTGTGTGTGTGTGTGTGTGTGTGTGTGTGTGTAACAGGGGGTATGTAGTGTGTACCCATGTGAGTTTGAGCATGGAAGCCAGAGGTCAACTTTGAATGTCTCTTCAGTTGCTCTTCATCTTATTTTTCAGATAGGACCTCACTATGTAGCTCTGTCTGGACTGTAATTTGCTATATAGAGAAGGCTGGCCTCAAACTCAAGATCCATATGCTTTTGCCAGGCATGTGCCATCAAGCCTGGCTCTCCATTTGGCTAAGCTGACTGTTTCTGTCCCAATAGTACCAGGGCCACAGCAGCATGCCACAGTACCCAGCTTTTACAAGAGTCCTGAGGATCAGGGCTCAGACCCCGATGCTTGCATGGCAGGCCCTTGAGTTTGGAGAGCTGAGAAACCCTTGAGTGAACATGTAAAGAATTGATGAAATCCTGAGTGAGTGTGTGTTGTCTGACCTGGCCACAGCTGGGTCAGATATTCAAATCCTCAGACTCATGACAATGGCAAAGCCTTCCCCAAACAAGGGTCAGAGGGATGGCAAAGGCGTCCTCAGGTCTGCACGTGGCTGCTGGCGGTGTGTGCAAACACGGAGTGTTCATGAACAGTTGAGCAGTGTCTGCAAAAGCTGCAAATGCAGCTTCCTCCCGCAGGTGTCCACAGCCTGACACTGCTCCCCACAGATCTCCTACTATGCACACTAGCTAGGGCCTCCTCCTATGCTGTGTTAATAAACACACTGAAATTCTGGGTTGTGCATAGCAGG